CTATTTATATGTAGAATGTCAGACTTCTTATTTCTTCGAACGTTAATAATTACTTTGCCTTCACCAGTAATTAATATAATGACTTTATAAGTTATCAATAAGTGAACGTGAAAAATAAAAAAAAATCACCAGAACTAGGATCTCTTTCGTTTTCCTTAATACTGCAGTAAAGCCTCAGAAAAATGTGAAAAATTAAAATGGTATTTATTTATTTGGTACTTATTTTATATAAAAATTAAAGTAGATTTATATAAAAATTAAAATAGTATTAATTAATAATATTAATGTAAAAATGGACATTCTGATTAATAATTACATAAAGGAAATTATTTTAAATCGGCTACATGGGAATGAAAAGAAAAAAAACTAGCTTAAAGTCGTCACACTCGACTCCTGACTATAATCGTCTTGCTGCTGCTGGCCATGAACTTCGTACAAAGCTTTCTTAATCAGCGATAATTCAACCAAAAATTCGATAATTATTTTCGCGATAACTCCAACTGCGCAAAGCCGCGATTTATATTTGCGTAGATAACAGGAGTCTGAGTAATCATCTGGGAATTTGATAAAATAAATGTCACTACGTCATCACAAGCGTCACCAGAGCTTTACGATGTCTCCGGAAGCCACCGATGACTCGTAATTTTCCACGAGTTTGGAAAAAATTTATCAATAAGTGTCAATGTCGACTGGAGCTCTAGATTGGCGGTAGGTGACTCTGGACGGATCGATAAGAATGCCAGACATTTAAAATTAATTTCAGATTCATCATTCCGATGGTGGGGGCAATCTCAGAAGCGAAAGTCAATGCTCTCGGTGATGATAATTGCTTATCGATGGTCTTTACCACTTGACCGAGTCAATTGGTCAATGAAATCAAATTTCGGGGGGACCGATCGATTTCAGGTACAGTGAAACGAACCAGCCATTAAGGAATTGGCGCCTGAAATATTAATAATTGAGTCGAGATATTGAACGTGAACGCGAGAGAACATCGAGAATAATTTTCATGATAGAACAATCCAATTTACGAAATGCTGGTAACTTTTTTGATTTCCATGCGCTGATAACTCGTTTTGTTAATTATAATGATCTCGGTAATGATTAATTTTAGAAAAAATCAGGGTCAGAACGCAAACGAAACTCTGTATTCGTCGTGAATTGTCACGCACGAAAAAATTTAATAGAAAAACTTATTGAATTCTTTAGAAAATTTTATTGAATTTCTATTAAACTTTCTATTAGTGTTTGGCTGATTCTATTGACATGTTCAATAGAAAACATTCAATAGAAAAAGTCAACAGAATTCGATTTTTCTATGTAACTTATTCTTTTCATATATTTTCTATAGAATTTGCTCGACTCAAATTTTCCAACTTTTTTTCATTCTATTTTTCTTTTCTTCTCATCAAGAAAATCAAACAAAAAAACTTTTTTTATCAATTTTTTTATAAATTTTGACAAAAAAACGATTAAAGTAATGGATAAAAATCGGAAATTTTGGGTCATAATTGGTATTTTTGGGAGTACATTCGAGGGAAATTTCAGCTATAACGAAAAACGATCAGAAGTTCAATGAAAATCCAATCGAATTTTCTAGCAAATTTGCTAGGTTTTTCTAGTAAATTTTTAGTGCATGTTTTCACTCTAAATGAAAGTTTTTCACGAAAATTACCGTATCTTCCATACAATCCAAGATATTCATCAAGAAATCCGGCGAACTCATCTCTTTAAAAAACAAATAAAAAAAAACTCAATAAAAAAATCGAATGAAACACGACAGGAAAACCTAGCGAATTTTATTACGAAATAAAATAAGAATATTTCAATTAAATATTCTATACAACTTATTCTATTGAGATATTTTTTATAGAAATTCCTCGTCCCAAATTTTCCAATTTTTTGTGTGATTTTCTTGACGAGAAGAAAAGAAAAATAGAATGAAAAAAAAATTGAAAAAATTTGTAGAAAAATTTAATTCTATAGAAATTTTTTTTGCCTCATGTTTTTAAATAAAAAAAGAAGAACTATAGAGTGAAAAAAACATGGAAAATTCATGTTGAGGAATTCCTATAGAAAACGCCTCAATAAAAAACTTACGTAAGAAATAAAATTCCACTAATTTTTTTCTCCATAACAGTTTCTATTGGATATTCTCTATAAAAAAAACACTTAATAAATCTTCAGAATTGTTGAAAAATTCAGCAGAATTTGCTATCGAATTCGCCAGGTTCTAAAATTTTTTCGTACACGAAATTCCTAAAAAACTTGAATTACCGCTAATTACCTCCCGCAGAGGTGCCTAATGATGCCGATATCCTCTCAATCATTCCTCAGTAATTTCACAAGCGGTAACCATGGAAAATCCAATCATTCCGGAATTTTAATGATGAAATGAACCTGATGTAATGACACACTTATCCCAATTGTCGTTCCCTGACCACTCTCAACGCATCATAATCTCCCGGTTCATCAACCTGATCCCTCCCCAAGGGCTTACCTCTCCCAAACAAAACCCACAGAGTTATCATCGTCGTATAGCTAGAGATATGACTGACAAAACGACCGGTCAAATGACCCTTAATTACCATTGTCATATCGTCGAACAAAAAATTAACGATTGTCCACAAACATGAAAGGACCGAATAAATTCAGTAGCGAAGTGGTAAAACGGTTAAAGTCGATTTTGACTATTGGCCAGTTTTTAGAGAATATCTCGGAATCTAAGGGAGATAGCAAAATTTTTATCAAGACCTTTTTTGTAGCACTCAATTTACTCAAGAAAAAAGGTTATTACGAAAATTCCATTATCTCCTTTAGATTTGGAGATATTCTTCAAAAACTCAACCAAGGGATAAGTCGACTTAAATCGTTTTACCACTTCGCTACTGAATTTTGCCCGTCAATTTCCATCTCTATAGATGACCCTCAATTTTCTCGTGCTAGTCTGATTTCTACACTGTTAAATTTTTTTAGCTGAAATTCCCAGTGAACTTTTCGGAAATTTTTGTCTCATTCAAGTTTTAGTGAAATTTCAAGGAATTTCGTCATTGGAAATTGTGAGTTCCGGGAAAAATCAATGAGAACTGTCAATTTTAGTTCAAAATTCCGATAAACATATTTTGAATTTTCAGGAGGATCTAAAATTTCATGATTTTTTACTCGAAATGGAAGCTCTGTAATAATTTAAATTCAAGTTTTGGATTTTTTGTTTTGTATCGATCTAGGATGACTCAAAAGTCTGATAATGCAATTTTTGGAACTGGTCCGTACGTGTGTGTGTGTGTGAATCTTTTTTTGAAATGTAGGTATTGTTGACCCCTAACGATCGCCATTAATTAAAATTTACTTCATCGATTAGTTTTTTAATTCTCGAATTTTTTCGAAAATCGATTGTCCCACGATAAAAAAAAATGTTCTGAATTGATTGAATGATGGCTTAAAAAATTTGTTTGAACGTCCTTTTGACCGAGTTCGAAGATGAAGACGACGCAATAATCGTTATTTTGATTTATTTGAAAATTTGCAAAAACTTTGTATTTTTTATTCGGCACAAAAAACCCTTTTTTGATAATTTTCAAACAACTATTTTCTCGGCACAAGTAGGACTCGTTTGATAACTTCGTCGTTTTTCTCTCATTGTCAGTGTACGGGGACGCCGATGCGATAGACATATCTCGTTGTCACTATTTACTATCAACAGCAATGCTCTCAAAGTCACATAATTATTTATTATATGGCTCCATTCACCGCTCAGTTACAGATGCAGTCGTTAAACCCGGTTAACCCGACGGGGTCACCTCTGACTCTTTTTAATTCACGCGGATGAACAGAATGCAAATGGGGGATGGGATAAATCGAGTGGCGTACGTGACTTTCTGCGAGATTAAGGGAAGCCAATAAAAAGTGCAATGAAATGAACGTGAAAAGTGGAGGGGGAAAAACGGGTTTGGATTATCGCGAGCTGTCCCAATTTCGGGCTTTGATTGATGATGCGGAGGTCCTTCGGGGGATTTCTTCATTTCGGTTTTTATTTATTTATTGGGTAATCAGTGGAGGCATCGGACGATCGATTTGGATCGGGAGGAATCCAGTCTCGGATGCGGAGATTGGAGGACATAAAACGGGGCTTCCGGGTATTTTAGACGGGTTGTCTAGCTTTCTCGTTGCGTCAGGTCCTTCTGTTTTTCTTTTTTTCGAATGATGCGGGTTGATGATCGAATTTAGTGAGGAGGTGTGGCAATTTCACTTTAGGACAGATCAGTTTTTGGGACGCGCCGGGCAGCTCAGCGGAGACAACAGCATTTTCCCGAAACGTTGATCACTTTTTTGAACACTTGATTACTTCATTACTGGGTGACTTTCTTTGGGCAGCACAATTTTTGGAAATATTTTTTAGAGCGGAAGAACAGCAGCGAAGGTTCAGAGATAATTAACGAAAATTAATTCTTCAAAAATCCATTCATTTCGTTTTTCAAATCGATGTATTTTGGCATTCAAAAAGAAATATATCGAAATACTTGGCATTCAAAAAGTTTTACAGGAATTTCCTTGTCGTCAATTCCAGTTTCTGACATTTATCGTAAAAACTGATGACGTGAAAATTCATTTATGAGTTTTAACGCGTCTGCGCTCTTTGGAAGTTGTGGGGAATTGGAGGGAGCTAGCGAAATTTTGATGAAAACCTTTTGCGTACACGGAGAGAAATATTCAATAAAAATTCCGTATCTTTCCCATAATTCCGGAGCGAAATGTGGTTGTAGGAAATTTTACGGAACTGTTACGGATTTTTTTTAGAGCGTTCCGTAATTTTTATCTGAAACTCCTGTTAAAAATTACGATACCGTCACTTAAATTTTCTGAATCGATTTCGCAATCGGTAAGCGAATTGTGAGTTCCGTAATTTTTACTGAACATTTCTCTCCGTGTAGAACAAAAAATTCTCTGAACGTGATCTTTACAGAAGTTTTTCTGTCTCTGGAATGGGAGTAACGACTTACTTGCAGGTTTTGGAGTGTTTCCACGTGTCCAAATGTCTCATGACAATCTCCAGACACTTTGCGTAGATTGTTGTACTCTTTGCAAGAATGTCCGACGTTAATTCCGGGGAGTCCGTATCGTCGGATTCCAATTCTAGTTCAGACACTTCGGACGATTCGCGCGCTTTCTGGACTAATTCGTCGTGCACTTTCATGTACTTCTCCTTCGCTTTGCTGAATTTGCTGATAGGAGGCGGCGTGACAGCGTCTGGTGTCACCTCGTTCGGTATCAACGTACGTACACACATTTTCAAAATAATTTTTCAATTTGTTCGATCAATCGCGGGCAATTTATTCGCCGGAGTTTAGTGGTTCGTGAATTGTTAAAAAAAAAATTTAGTAGATTTTTTACTCATGAATGAACGAATTGAATGAGAAACTTTTTTTTGTTTCTCGAAAGAAAAACTTTGGTGAGATCTACGATGCACTGTGGCAGTGGTCTTTGCGCACCGACTGTATTTATAGTCCTCGCCTCCACTTTGACTCCTCGGGTGCGTGGGTGGGGAGGACGGTTTGGCGGGAGTTGAAGAGGGATGATGGGGATTGGGGTGGTCCATGGTCAGTCATATCAGTGGGAAATCCTCTTTCGAGGATTGATTGAGGGTGATCGAGGCCATTGGTGCCATACAAGAAGCCCGCGGAAGTAAACATTCAGGAGGGGATAAAAGTGCCGAGGGTACACTGAGAGAAAAACACGGTGTCAAACAAGTCTTGTTTGGGCCAACAAAATCGCTAGTTGAAAATTGCCAAAAAGAATTTGTTCGCTTCGAATTTGCAAGTCTCTATTGAATATATAGAACAAAATCTGTCGATTGTATGTAGAATATTCTATGTTTGTATGTGTGGGGTTTCAGGCCTATGGGCCTGTGTCCCTCACACCCCCACTTGAGGGTTTTAGAGAAATTTACCGTCCACAGAGACATGGGTTGTTCCCTTAGTGACAAAGAGGTCTGAGGCTTGTTTTCGTGAAAAGTCTGTAGAGTCAGTTAGTTACGTCTGAAAGACTGAGGAGTAAGGTCCTCATAATAAAAACTTCTCCTCCTTAAAAACCTGTGTTTATTGATTGAATTACCCTGGCTCTTACCCATAATTACAATAGTCTCAAACACGCATAATTATTCTGCTCTCGACAGCAACGAAATATTTGGCTCGAGAGGCGGATAATTCACACCAGACGGTGCCTTTTCAGGATGAAAATATCTCATACAGAGGAAAATTTATCAACAAATATTTTATCCCTAAGTTACAAGATTGCTATCATGTCATTATTATTGTCTCATTTAAGGGTTCATTTGTTGTCGGTGATTATTAAACAGCCGAAACGAAAAACTACTATCCCTTGTTTCGCATAAAACAAAGATTTCTCGGGAGCAAAATACGTATGGGAGTATCGAATAACGAAGGAGTACCCGAGTGGAAATTTCACTCAGTTAGCTTGGAACTACATTAGTTTTAGGTTCAATACTGGTCAGAATTTATTGATTAGACTTTCGGATCAGGATCTGATGAGATTCTGAATGGAGTATCTGTATCCATTGTGGCGGAGTGAATTGTGATCCTATTCTGGTCAGTCAAATCTCGACTAGATCCGTATCGGATCCGGTACTGTTCAGGAAGATCGAATCCTAGGATTTTGACCAGGCATGGACCCAAACAAGCGTTACATTTCTGATGCAAAATTGATCAAAATCAGTTTTTACTGGTCAGTCTCTTATTCTATCCTAATTTGAATTTCCACTCGGGTAGTGCGAGAAATGACATTTCTTGCGTCTACAGAGAATGCAATTTTTTTTTTCACTACTAAATCTATTTTTGCAACAAAAATTTTTCATTCCGGCGCGCTCTCTGCATGTTTGGCACAAAAAAATCCTTTTTTGATAATTTTCAAAAAAACTATTTTCTCGGTTCAAGTAAGACTTGTTTGAGAACTTTGTCGTTTGTCTCTCATTGTCAGTGTTGCTTGTTCACACAACGAACACCCGAGAATGACCCTCCTCGAAACTTGAATTCCTGATCATCTCAAGGTCCCCACAAAAGTCTCTAAATTGTGGGGTACGTGCTAAGCATCAGGTTTAGAGGTCTCGCAGCGATTGTCCCCTGCTGCACCTTGGGCGAAAAATTCATTACTCATCCTTTATCTTCGCTCTATCCCCCTCGTCGTGCGAATTGGTAGCATTAAAAATGACTCAATCATCTAACGCCTCTCGAAGCGCCCGGGCAAATGCAAATTTGCCAATTCCGCCGGTAGTGTCCGCAGGCCAGGCTGATGGATCACCGAAATTTCTCGAGTAGAAATAAATAAAGGGAACGGGTTTTAAAAGGACGTGATGTCGGTGTGAGGCAAAACAATGAGGGTGATTTGATACTGCGAAAGATTAAATTCACGGCACGAGGCCCATGACCGCAAGGGGCCCAACGAACCTGTTTGGGCTCGAACCTTTAGGGTTCTTTTTAGGGCTGCATGTAATAAAATAAATTTCATTGGAAGAAGAACGGAGAGGGGAGCGATTTTTAATGGTACTCGGATCAAAATTACCGAAAAAATGTGGCAAATTTTACTGTACGAAAGGTACGAAAGGTATGAAAAAATTTAATAGAACAAGGAGGGCTTCGAGCCTACACTGTTAGAAAAAAGACAATTAGTAAATTTTCCGGACAGTGACACTAAATTCGATTTAGGTAAAAAATCATTGTTGATTGAATGACTAATCTATGATATTGAAATGTAATTGAATTCCTCACTAGATAAGCAATAATTTTTTTTTAATGATTATTCATTAATACGGTATTTACAAAATGTGAATTGCTTAATAGCCATGCGTAATGTGACTAAGTAAATAAAATTCTCGTGATAAAATTAATTTGCTCTGTCAGTGCAGAAATTCATCGATTTTCATTAGATCTTGAGAATTTCATCAATCAAGATGTTTGAAAAACTGTGAAATAAAATGTGAAAGACTCCATATTAATTTCATCAGAGATATTCAAGGTGAATAAATCTACTCTCAGGCGGAATCTCCGTTCTCCCAGAATGGAATCTCCGTGAGATCAAAGTCCATTCACGAATTCTCAAATCTCTCCAAAAACACACGTGGAGATGATTGATTTATTTAGACTATTCACTTCTACGCTTCATTTGAGCGTAATGCCTATGTTGACATTTCCGTGCGGCTGCGAATCTATTCTGATCTCCAATCCTTAAATCATCAATGAGCCAGGGATCGAGTTATGACAATTTTTATGGCTTTACCAATGAGATAAAAAAGTAAGAGGAAGGGAAAACCAAACGACACGAACACGTGTATTACCCGGGCGCCTCGTGAATATAACTCCACATTAATTTACGATCGTACTTCAAGCACAAGAATTTGTAATTGGGATTGTAAATAATGAGGCATTGATGCCCACATTTGTATCCAGCGATTTCTCCAGGAGGGCGACCACCAAAATTTTAATCGAACAAAAAAAAAACGCAAATTTACGAGTCGAACTGACGATTTAATTTTTGCACAATTTTTTTCAACCCGTCACAAATTCATTTTATTTATGGAATATTCAGTGCAAGTTGAAATCGTCCAGAAACCAACCCCCGTCCAGAAATTTACCTGTTTACCCTGAATCTAAGAAATTTGAAATTCAGTTGCTATTGAGACAATTAGTAATGGTGTTTGGATGAATTTATTTGACCGCTGTGTGCGTCAGGCAAGGCTCAACGAGATGGTTAATGCCTAAAAACAATTTTTGGATGGAATAATCGTGGGGGAAACTATATGAAGATCGAGTTGTGTCACTCCACGTCCGACGTGCACTATAAAAAAAATGCTGAATGACCTTGATCATGCGTAGGTGAATGACTCGAGAGACGGAACCTGTATCTTTACAGTCTATTTTTCCAAATGATGAATGTCAAGATCGAATAATTGTCAGTCAGTAATTATATTTGCATAAGATAATTAAAAAGATCGCTATAAAATTTGACTTTGTCAATTGAAGTGTCTAAAAAATTGTAGGAGTTTTTAGAACAACATATTCCCCAAAATTTCTAAAGAAAACAAATTATTTCGGACAGGTGAATTATTTTTTCAAACGTTGAATGAAATTGCCCATGACGCGATGTTGCCAGAAACCCGCTAAACGCGCCCGGGCAGTGTAGAGTGAATTCGGCAACGGTGAAGCCTAAATACCACAGCGGGGAATCCCCGCTGATCCTTATTTTTCTCCTCTCCACAAGCGCGCGTAGTGGGGGCATACGAATTCCCGCAATCGCGTTCTCCTCCTGCCCCTAAGGTATCTTATATGAAGCCTTGACTGTATTAATGGACTTGTGCCCATCATTGGTACATGTTTCGATAGATCTACAGAGAGGCCGTCGAGACGAGTATTTTGAAAAAGAAAAATTCAAATTCGCCGAATAGTTGGTGAGAAAACCAGAATATAACGTGTTTTGGTAAAATCGGACGCCCTCGCATGCCATCACAGGGAAAATTCGGAATATGAGTGGAGGGGAAGGCGCTGGGGAATAAGAGTATAGCAGTAGTAGCTGTTTCATGCATACGTCTTGCGGTATCACTCATCCCTGAATGGATTTTAGTAAAATGAAAAAAAGCAATACGAATCAAAAAGAAACACAAATCGACGTGTGCAAAAATTAATAGGATTTTTTAGAACAACATATTCCCCAAAATTCCTAAAGAAAACATATTATTTCGGACAGGTGAATTATTTTTTCAAACGTTGAATGAAATTGCCCATGACGCGATGTTGCCAGAAACTCGATAAACGCGCCCGGGCAGTGTAGAGTGAATTCGGCAACGATGAAGCCTAAATAGCACAGCGGGGAATCCCCCCTGATCCTTATTTTTCTCCTCTCCACAGGCGCGCGTAGTGGGGGCATACGAATTCCCGCAATCGCGCTCTCCTCCTGTCCCTAAGGTATCTTATATGAAGCCTTGACTGTATTAATAGACTTAGTAGTGCCCATCATTGGTACATANCTGCATGTTTGGCACAAAAAAATCCTTTTTTGATAATTTTCAAAAAAACTATTTTCTCGGTTCAAGTAAGACTTGTTTGAGAACTTTGTCGTTTGTCTCTCATTGTCAGTGTTGCTTGTTCACACAACGAACACCCGAGAATGACCCTCCTCGAAACTTGAATTCCTGATCATCTCAAGGTCCCCACAAAAGTCTCTAAATTGTGGGGTACGTGCTAAGCATCAGGTTTAGAGGTCTCGCAGCGATTGTCCCCTGCTGCACCTTGGGCGAAAAATTCATTACTCATCCTTTATCTTCGCTCTATCCCCCTCGTCGTGCGAATTGGTAGCATTAAAAATGACTCAATCATCTAACGCCTCTCGAAGCGCCCGGGCAAATGCAAATTTGCCAATTCCGCCGGTAGTGTCCGCAGGCCAGGCTG